GAAGCTTATCTGGGTGGTGTTTGAGAGCACAAGAAGCCTGGCAGTGAGATAGTCACTTAGGGCAGTTATCAAGACCGCAGGCTCCTGCAGTCTGCCCACCGCCATATGCTAGGCCTGTGCTTGGGTCAGGTCCTCTGAGAAATGTTGGCTATGGGGAGAGAAGCTGGAGAATCAACAGCACCTGGAGGCAGTGAGGCCTTTGTTGTGATCCAAGGAAATCAGTACAGGGCCTGAGTCACCTGTGTGGCCTCTATGATAGAAGATGCAGGAAAAATGTGAGAAGCTGCTTTGGCAGGCTCTCCAAGCTTAGGAAATACTTGTGTAAAGACAGAGATGGGATGAGGGGAGGCATAGACTGGGTCTTTTTCAGTCCCAAGTATCCCTAGAGCAGATGCTCAGTCTCCTGGCTCTATATGGGGATTACAGACTCCATCCTTAGCAACAGGAGGTTCAAAGAACACACCTTTTCTAAACACCCCTATGCAGATATGGCTTGGCACTGCAGGCCTGTGGGTGTGATCATTGTACTTCTGTTGGGGGCTGCTATTCCCATGTGCTTAAAATCTCAAACCCCAGACCATCAGACAACAAATATCACCACCTGGTCCCTCATCTCGGTATCCTTCTTGGGTCCTGAGAAAGGCAGGTAAGGGCTGGGCAGAAAAGTAGACAATGAGCAGCATCCTGAAGTCAGAGCTCCATTGTCCAGTAGTTGAACCTCGTCAATCTTAAATACACCGTGGACCCTAATGGGACTGGGCCTGATGTCTAGGCTATTCCGTGGTGGGTATACTTAGATGGAGAGCCCATCTACAACCTGATCCTAACCTGACCCTTGGTCACATGGAACTCTAGCCTGCCTCTCGGCTCTTTGGGTCTGTCAGCCTCTGAGAGGGACTCTTTGGCCCTCCCAAGTTCTCACCTGGACCCCAAGCTAGTCCACTGCAGTCCTCAGGCTGGACAGGGGAGCTCATCTGTGGCCACTGGTGCTAAGCTCTTCCACTGAGCCTCATGGAGAGGCAGACAGAGGCCTCAGGGTCCATGAGACCCCATCCTAATTGTTTTACATCTAATTTCCCAAAAAGAACTTGATTCTACCTCAGGCTGTTGAGCTCCCCACCACCTGTCTTTGAAGTTGGAAGGTGCTACAAGGTCACCCAAATCTGCCTTCTAGAATGAAGGGTTTCCTTCTGTCGTCCTGGGGGTGCCCCTCTTCTGCAGGCACCTGGGTCCTGCCCGTGGAATCTGTCCTCTTCAACTCCCTGCCAGGCGGCCTCCATCTCCAACTTGGGCATCCGTGGCCATCTTACTGGGCAGCATTGGATAGTGTCTGGTCTCTAATACTGCCTGGTAATGATGACGGCGGAGCCCTGCATGCAGCAATGGGGCCGCCTCCTGATCCCAGCCCCTAGGGGCTCTAGTTCCACACTTCATCTACCCTACCCAGGATAGGGCTATGGGGCAGAAAGTTAACCTTGGGCATGGAGCTTTCCCTCCCTAACCAGGCACCTCTGAGAGGCTCTTTGTGTCCTGGGATGATGGGCTCACTACCATTGATTGCCCTACAGGTGCCCCCTCCCAGTGCTCTGGGGACTAGGGCACTTAGGTACCTGGGTCCTGCCTACAACAACCAGGCAGGTGCTGCCACCACACCTAGCAGGTGTGGACTGGGTGGAACTGTAACAAAGCCTCTAAATTAGGACTAAGGCCCAGCCTGGGCTCAGAGGGCCTCATGCCAAAATTTGCCTCACCCAGATCTGGGAGATGTGCACTGACCCCTAGTGGGGCTACTTGGGCCTGGGACACCTTCCTTTCCTGCGGGCACTGACTATCTACAGACCAACAGTAGTTTTAATATGGATATTGAGCCAATGTGTCACAGTCCCCTTGCTTTGGACAAAGCAGACAGTGTGAGTCAGGGTCAACCTCTCTCTGTTGGTCTATTCCAATGCAGATACAATCCCTAGCTATTCATGGTACCAGGTCTCCACTGGGCCTCTCTGAGGGTGGAAACCATGTATCCTACCCTGTATCTTCCTGCCAAAGCTTACCTGGGCCTCTGTGGGCATCTTACCGGACAGTGCTGGATTTCTTGGCTTGACTCTAACACTGTCTGGTAACGATGTTCAAAGATGGCCCACCACTCGCCGAAGACAGGCCGATGATGCACTTCTCCTAGCTCCTGGACTCCAGATAGGCCAAGGCTGAGGATGTACTGGGCTTGCAGAGGGCCTGCCTCAGCTCTACAGCTCAGCAGTCAATGGGGGCTGGACTCTGCCCAAGATGGGAATCCTTGTCTATTACTTCATGCTGGGGTAGAGGCAGCTTGTCACTTATTGCCAGAGCAGCAATGCCCACCTTTGGCTCCCCTGCTGGCTAGATTTGGGGGTTCATTGATTCCTAGAGAGACTGTCCGGGTCGGTCAAGATGCTGGGCTAGGTAGGCAAGGAGGCATGGTGGACAGCACTGTTTGCATAAGAACTCTTATCAGGCGCCTATGGGACTAGTGGGCAAGGGTGAGTTCAGGAACCTGAGCCTGGTACACAGCACTGTGATGTCACCAGCTGTCTCCTAATTAAAGAAAAAGAATCTCCATTCCTTCCCAGTGACTGTCCAGAACAGGAACTTTGCCCTAAAACCAGAATCCAGGATTACCTCTTATATTTCTTTATTTGAAACCAGAGTACAGGGTCAGGGGACCCCACCCAGCATGAACCCAGGTGCCTCTCTCCCTGGAGATGGGGGGGGTGTGTGGAGATGGGGGTCTGTTACTGGCCTCAATGTTATTCATTAATCTGAGTCATTCAGAAAACCAAAGAGGTGCTGTGATGAACATTTTCCAAATAAGAAGGAGAAGTGAACAGATGACTCCCATGGTGCACCCACATATTTAAACACTTGGGAATCAGGCACTGGGCTGGGACCTGGAAGGAAGTCCTCAGAGTAACCCCAGGTCCTAGGAGGACCCAAAAATGGCCCTTGGGCCAGCTCTGCAGAAAGGTGAGCAGGCAGGGAACACCCCCCCACCCCAACTTCCCTCCACAGGTATCGGATCAGGACTAACTGCCCAAATGGGGAGGCCCTTGCACAGTACATTGCCTGCTGATGGATGTCTTACCAGACATGGTTAGATCTGGATGCCTCTGTCTAATACTGTCTGGTAATGCCGTCCATCCATGGCCTTATCACCGTTGGAGACAACATCCTCACCACCTCACGGACATTGAACAGAGGGCAAGGCCCTCTAGTACATTAGTACAACTGTCCATCTAGGACGACTGTCCAGGTCTGGGGCCATCATGCTCTCTATCCAAACAGACCACAATCTGAGCCTACAGGCTCCCTGGGCCTGACTGCCTCCCTCTGACCTGTGTTAGCTTTCTGTCACAGCCACAGCAGATGTTGTATAACAAAGATGTGAGACCCCCGAGGCCTCCATGTCTATCCTTTCCAGAAGTCAGTGGGGCTGTCACAGTGCCACTGGCACCCATAGCCCACTGGGCTCCGCACAGGGACCTCCAGCTGTAGTCAGCTGACACAGCAGATTCTGCAGTCCCTGTGCTCTCAACACTGGTATGCAGCCAGAGAAGACCCAAAGCCTTGGTCCTCAGTTCCCTCCCCAACTTCTCAGGTCATGGGGCCAAGGAAAACAGAAACAGCTCTTATCACTGTGCCCAAACCCAGAGTGAAAAATAGGACATATGAGTTTCAGGGATGGGGGTACTGTTCAGGTGCCAGACCAGGTGATAATGACCCATATCCAGGGAATGTGCAGAAGGCTGCATAGCCTGTCAGCCTGCTCATGAGCCCTCTCTCTGCAGCCCACCTTCAGCTCTTAGGATCAGAGAGTCATCCTTCAATCTAACTCTGGATGCTGAATACCCCATTCTTAAAAGACCCCACTCTCCCCTAGCCCTGAGAATTTCCAAAGGTTCTTTCTAAAACTCACTCCAGAATAATTCCCAACTCTTACATCATTTGCTGTATGAGCAGCATGTATTTTGCTGTGATAAGAACTAGAACTGGCCTGGCAGTGGTAGTGCATGCCTTTAATCCCAACACTTGGGAGGCAGAGGAAGGCAGATCTCAGTGAGTTCAAGGCCAGCCTGGTCTACAAAGTGAGTTCCAGGACAGTCAGGACTGTTACACAAAGAAACCTTGTCTCAAAAAAAAAAAAAAAAAAAAAAGACCCCCTACATATAAGCCATTTACCTCAGCATCTAGACTTTTGCAAACCTGAAGATGGCCAATACAGCCTGAGTCCAGCACAGCCAAGCCTCACCCACTGCCCTCTAGAAGGGAAAAAACATGCTCTTACAGGTTTCTTAGTATTGATAGGCCATTACCTCCAGAGAACCATTATATATGGACATTGGACTTCACCTCCCACAGAGGCCTGCTGTGCCCCAAGTGAGTAACTGGACCCTGCATTAGAGGTTCTTTCTACATGGCTGAGGGGCTTACCTGCGCATTGTGCTCCCTGTGATGGGCAGTCTCTTTAAACATTGTAAACAGGTGGGGGGGGGAAATCTCTGTAAGAAAATAAATTTTATGATTTGTGAAATTATACTTTGATTACCTCATTTTAACCATACAAAACACTGACAAGCAGCTTTTCAAAGGACCAGGCTGAGGACATAGGCATTCCAATGGTCTGTGCTCCCAACAGAGAAAAGACTTGCAGAAGTAAGACGTAGAGCTCACTATACCTCACCATACACAAGCTGGCTCTGGTATACAGTACCAAGGTCAAGTGATCCATGAAAAAGGGGTTTTCATCCCAGCCAAGAGTCAGCACTGGAGTGGGAATTGGGAGTTGGTTGTTTTGTGCAGGAACCAAGCCCAGGGTCTCATGAATATAAAGCAATCATTCTACCACTGAGCTACATCCCTAGCCCCTGGAGTGAGAATTGGAAATGTTCTTCATACTCCAGGGTCAGTGACTGCTAGCTAATAGTCCAGAGCCTCTCCAGGATTGGGTGTGCTACCTGCCCAGGCTGTTAGCTTATGGCTGGTGGCTGTAAGCCCCATAACTCAGTCCAGGGCTTAGGAGAAGTACTGTCTGCCCAGTGCACCTGCAGTCCCACCCTACTAATTTGGGGCAGAGAAGTTTCTTGAGCCAGCACTGGAATGACCACAAAGACCCCTGCCCCCAACACAGCATAGGAAGGGTAGGGTCAGTAACAGTAAGCAGTTCCACAAACAGAGAATGACAGCCCATGGGGGCACTCCTATTCCCACAGGACTCTGGGCACAGCTGAGAGACGATGCCCTCGCCATCCACGTCTAGCACAACCTCCCACTCCAGCAGCTTAGATTAGGGAAGAGACCTCAAGGGAGGAGTCACATTAGTAGAGCCTAGAGGTGCGCAGCCTCTAAGGGGATGACGGAATCCGTTAGCATGGGCAGAACCACAAAGGAACCTGAAGGTGAGGAGGGCTAGAGGGCAGCCTAAAACAGTTGTTTTCCAGAATTTCCAAAATACACCCAATGTTTCAACAAGGCCCTTAGGGAAGCCCTCTCACTCCCACTTCTTAGTTCATAGGCCCTGTGGCTTATGGACGCATACCCTTGTCTCTGCTTCCCTCTGAAGAAGTCATCAGTCATTGGGTTTAGAGCCCACCTGGTTGATGAAAGATGATTCACCCAAGAGTCTGACTCAATCACATCTGTACAGACCTTTCTTTAAAAAATAGTCATGTCCATGGGCTTCAGAACTCAAGATATGGTCCTGTTTTTTTGAAGCACCATATACTCCTGTCAAGCCTTGTGACCCTTATAAGGCTCTGAAAGATGACATGTGAGGTTCATATGGCTGGAAATTTGGGGTCAAAATCAGGAATCACACCGAGTCCCAAGGACCTCAGTAGGAAACTACAAATTGGCACCAAGAGCCACTTTGAGCCATGCTTGGTGTCAGATCCTAGATTACTAGGTCTGGATTAAGGAATCCCTGTGAATGCTCCGGGTGATCCTGGAAGAATTCATGACAGGATGGAAGATGATGGTTCAGACATAGGGGTTGTCTATACAAAACTACTTATCCTCAGCATCTCCTCAGACCAATTTGACCCCCATTCTCCATCTCTTGCTTTGCCCAACTTCTGTGAGGTTGCCCCTCAGCTCATACAAGGCCCATTTTACCATACACCTAAAACTCTTGTTTACCTTTGGGCAGCCACTGAATCATATGTTCCCTGGTAATAGTTGCCTGGAGACAGTTGCCAGGTCACCACTGTTGTATCCCAGCAGAGGGTTCCTAAGACCTTGCAGAGCAGGTAAGAGAGACTGGCTGGTCACCAGCTGAGGGTCCTGACTAGGGCTGAAGCTGAGTGCTTGCCCTCCTGTACCCCATTTTTGGCCCTTTCCAGAAGTAGACAAACAGGAGAGAGGACTGCGGAGACACCGTGCAGCTTGGCTGAGCTCAGCCCTCTGCTGAGGCCACTCTTTCTCCAAACCCCAGCGTTTTAGACAAGAGAGGAATGTCTTGTGGGGTGGGGCCGGCCCATGTGGGCAACTCAAGTTCTGGGGAGGGCTGGGATCCCTCAGGACGAGCTCTTTGCCTAGAGCCATGTCTGTCTCCCCAGAACTGACCCCTCAGAAGGGCCACCTCCTGAGATCCACAGAGAACGCATCCCCAGACAGTGAGCGCTGCTTGGGAGGCACCAGCCCTTCAAAAAATGTCAGCACCTACTCAGAGCCCTGTGTTACCAAATGTTGTGTCTGGGGAAAACTTCAGCAGAACACTGATGTGGTCATTTTCTTGGCCATCTTCTTTAGGTTTAAACGCATCTCCTGCCCATTGTACCGGGGTGTGATTTCCTGCCGGTCTTTTTATCTGACCAGGTAAAAAGTTTATTTTAAATTTATTATAAAGACTTGAGGCTTCTGTCTAGCTCCTCACCTGGAGCTTTCCCTTAACTTTTATGTAATACCCCCAAGACTCATGACCACATAATTTGCTCCGTTATTGGACAGTTTGCTTTCTGAAATAGTAACTGAAACTTTTACTGTGAAACTTTCTTTCTGGATTCTGGGTCTCATTCTCAGAGAGACCCTAGAACACGTTCACTAGACAAGGGCAGCAGCTGGTCCCTTCTCAGTTTAGATGCGGCATTCCAGTCCTTCCTCTCGTGGGTAGACGTATTCCTACTTACCCACTAGGATTTTTATATAGTTTTTGTCATTTTGTGGGGTTTTATTTGTTTTTGTTTGTTTGTTTGTTTGTTTGTTGTTGTTGTTGTTAATTTTTGAGAGAGAGTTTCATGTAGCTCAGGCTGGTTTCCAACTTCCCCAGTTCCTGGAGTTGGCACTCCAGTGTGTGCCCTCCTCAAAGGCTAGAGGACTCTGGTTGGCCACAGGGTACCTCCCCAACTCCAAATAGTATGTCCAACTTCCTTTCTTTCCTCATCTCTGAACAAGCTATAATGAGTCTCTGTAGGTTTGTATTCGGTTTGATCTTTTTGGCCTGTCCTCAGTTCTTCCTGAACAATTTCCTGGACTTAATTCTGACCTTAGTATTTCATGTTTAGTACCCACAGGCTCCTTCCTGATCTGATAGAATCCAGCACCTTTTTAGGATACAGCATCTCTCCCACTCCCAAACACATTCTGGAAGTGAGCTAGGTTCCTTCAGTTTCCACGTCTTTTCTATTCCATTTTCTTCTTCCTCTGTATGTGTCCATATGTTCCTCTTGTTCATACCTAGGAGGCCTCCTAAGATCTCCCTGTGGCCAGGCAGCCTCTTAGGCTGTGGACAATACTGAACACCAGTGTCTTAAGGTCCCATTTCCATAGCAGGTCCCCTGAGACCTGCTTCTGGGTTCTGGAAACCCAGTGGAATGCACTAGGACCTCCCAGTGATTGCAGAATCACACCTCCACACCTACAATCCTGCCCAATTTTTAAGCTCCTATCTCAGCCTCTTCCTGAGAGCCTTTCTTTTCTCAGTGGGAAGGGGTCTCCAGGCACTCCTGGATTCTTCCACATGTGCAGCTTACCCTCTACAGAGGTATGAGGTTCTCATTCCAGGCTTTCTCTCCATCCTACAGAACTTTTTGGATTTTTTTTTCTTGTCAATTCAGTGAGGGTGGAATCAGACATACATAATGCCTGAATGGCTTGTCTTTCGTGTGGTTGCTGTCCTTGGCCTTTCTTTGTTGTTAGTCTATCCACAGACCTGTTTTCCTCTTTAGAGCTGACCTGCTCCTATCCAAGGGCATCAGCCTGTCTTTCCCCTCCCACACACAAGGCTCTATGTGCTATCTCCTCACTCACTCCTGTCCAACAAACTGAGTTTATTTCCTTAATGCAAGGCACAAAGATTCATCTAGAAATAGATTTTAAATGTCCCAAAATATTCTAAAGATAACAAATAGAGAAAAATGGCAGCATCCAGGGCAAGAGTGCTAGGGGTAGAATGATGATGGTTATAGACAGGTTGTGTTAGTAGGACCAGGACTTAGCACCTGGGTAGCCATAAACTGGTAGGACTTTTGTTGAGGGCTAGGAGCCTTTTTGCCCTTCAAGCCTGCAGAAGGGCACCCTACCAACAGCAAGACTGATGGACACCCTCTTTGCAGCAGACACAGAGGCCACACTCATCGAGGCCGGGACGGTCTTGGCCGAAGAAAACTCACCCGGCAGAGACGGGCTGCAAAGATGGCCTTGCACCCACAGGTCGGAAGACCTCATGGCCATCACAGAGATGGAAGTGAGCCACAAGCTGAAGCCACAGCCCAGGACATGGGGAGGCATCCTTCCCCAGGCAGGGTGGGACCAGCTGTCTGCCCCATCCGAGGGCTGAGATCTCAGGCTGCTCGAAGACCCCGAAGGGGTGTAGGGACAACATCTTCCTCAAGGGTTCCTCGCTCTGGTGCCCTCATGCCTGCAACACGCAGCCGGACAAGGTTTATCCACTGCCGGGGTCAGCCCCCTCGGACCCATGTCAGCTCCAAGAGACCCAAACGATCCAGGATCCGTCGATGCCACCCTCGGGTGCCAGGTGAATACAGAGTGACCCTGGGACTGGTACCACATACCCTCAAGTCAGGGCCTCCAGGGACAGCATCTCATAGGGAGGGGACTAGGCTCACACTAGGCCATACCCAGCCAGACAGCCAGACAGGCTCCGAGAGAAGCTAGCAGGGGCCCACATACTAGGGACACTATGCTCAAGAATCTGCAGGCTCTACCAGTTCATGCCATCACAGTGGGCACTCCCTACCCCAACTCCACTTAGTGTAGCCTCCCATCTCTCCTGGTTGACCGTAGGCCCTTGGGTCACCCATGATGTCATCATAGACATTGTGACCCCTGCCCTTTGGAGACATCCCCATATCATGTCTGTAAAGGGCTCTTGCCTCATACTCCAGCCCACTCCCTGCATGGAGCCTGCTCTGCTGGTAAGGAGGGTGGAAGTGGGGCTACCCACTTCACCCCACTGTAGTCTCTACACTACCTGGACTCTGCCTGATTTAAGGCTGGTGGAAACTGTCTCCTTTCTTGGGTGTAATGACCCTCAGACCCCCTGGTCAGTTCTTTGTTGGGCTGAAGAGATGTCCAGAGGGGCTGCATTAGTTTCCAGTAGCTTCTGGCATTGGCTGGACTCAGGCAGATAGAGTGGGTACCTCCCCATTCCTCTACCTGACACCACTGGTCTCCAGGCTGGACCCATGAGAAACGGATGGGGAGCAGTGTCGAGGAGGGGCTCCGGCCTGAGCTAAGTCGGCTGGACCAAGATGCAGGTGGGGCTTCTGGCAGCTGGGAGGGGCAGGAAAACCCCTACTGAGCCAGAAACCTGAGGCCTCTGACTACCTACCTGCCCACAGACCTCCTAGAGGAAGAAGAAGCTGCCAGACTACCTGTGACCTCCCTGGAGGGGCTCTTTCTGGAAGGGGACAAGCAGCCCAATTCTGGTCAGGGCCCTTTCTTTTACATCGGAGGCACCAATGGAGCATCGATGTGAGTGGGGTTTGGGCAGCCCTGGTCTGCCTTCCCACCCCTGGCCTGGACCTAGCCCAAGATGCTGCTATAGGCAGCCACTCCTGCCCTGTCTTCCTCAGAGAACCCCAAGGCCCCCAGTTACTACTGCCCTCTACCCCACAGAATCAGCAACTACTGTGAGAGCAAGGGCTGGCAACGCACTCAGGACAGTCGCTGTGAGGACTACAAGCTAAAGTGGTGTGAGATCAAGTGCAGGGACAACTACTGCAGCTTCCGGGAAGGTAGGGACATCCCTGAGGGAAGGGGATGTGGCACAGCTTCAAGGCACCACCCATACATCCCTCTTTGTCCCGCCAGGCCAGCAGTTGCTGTTCCAGCTCCCCAACAATAAGCTGCTCACTACCAAGATCGGGTTGCTCAGTGCCCTGCGGGAGCATGCACGAACTTTGAGTAAAGCCAGACTGCTGCCCAGTACCCAAGCCAAGTGAGCCCACCCTGCCCAGAGGCACACCCATTTCTACCTCCATCTGTCTCTTTAGGACCATTTTCCCCATTCCATAAGCTCACCACTCACTCTGCAGCTCCTCAGCAACCACTCTCCTTCACATGTTCCACCCCTCTCCCCACTGGTCTACCAATCTGCCTCTACTCCAGCGCATGCCCACCATCCTCTACTCTGACATCTTTACTCTACGCCACCCACAATGTCCCTCACTACTCATCCATTGCTTCCACCCACTTTGCCATCATTTTGCTGCTACTCCTTATCTATCCAGTCATATCCATCCAGTTTCCTCTAACCCTACCACTCAGCCAAGCTGAACCACTCAACCAGCATGGTTCACTGATTACTTGCCCAGCATTACTCACCCAAACATTTATTTAGGGATCTATCTACTCATCCAACCACCTGTTCACCATCTGCCCCTCAAGGTAGCATTTAGAACCTAGCCATTCATAACACCATCTTGACATCTGTATATCCAGCTATCCACTTCCTACTAACTTTGACCAGCAACTCATCTGCCCACCTACCTCCATACCCATCCTCCATACATGCTGGAGGTAACTACTCAGACCAGGACTTATGTCCCTTTGGGATGCAGATTTGAAAAGGATGTATCAGCCCTTGAGGAGCTTACATGGACCAGCCCAGGATGCCTTGGGCCACAGAGGTAGATAGCTGGGAGAGACCATAACTGGGTATGACATATTGTTAGGTGAAAGGCAGTTTGGGAGCTCAGCTACATACTGACTATGGTTCTATGTCAGACACAGTCTTGGCATTGCAAACCAACCCACAAAAAAGAGAGCAATTGGGAGGAGGGAGAAAGCAGCAAGGTGGGACAGAGGAGCCACAGTGGGTCTGGTAGCTAAAGGCCAACTGCTGCAGAGAAGCTAAGATATGAGATACATGAAAGAATGTTCTGCAAGGGCACAGTGTGAACAAGGGCCTTGATAAGGAAATAGCTGAGAAGGCTGGAGGACACAACGGTGAATGCCCCTTCCAGCTAGCCTACAGGTCAAACTACCAGATCACTGGCCAAGTCTGAGGCAGAGGACAGCCCTCCCATGTTTTCACCTCCCTGCTCTCCCAAGGGTCCTGAAAATGGAAGAGTTTTTTCCAGAGACCTATCGGCTGGACATCAGGGATGAGAGACAGGCTTTCTTCACTCTATTTGATGGTGAGAGGCCCCTGGGTAGGGCAAGGCACACTAAAAGGGTAGATAAGATCAGGTTCAGACCCCAGCAGGGTGGGAGGAAGGTTGGGCAAAGCCAAGCCTGGAAAAAGTGGGATAGTTCTTGAGAGGAAAAGTGAAGCCAGGGCTTGGGAGTTGGTGGTTTCTGGTGTTAAGGGGTTGGAGAAAGAGGGTTGTGGCCTTAGTTAGAGGTAGGGGTGTGGCAGGGCCATAACTAGATTATGGGTATGATCAAGGTGAGACAAAGGAACAGCCCTCTAAACTGGGGCGAGGTAGTGAAATCGGGGTAGGACAAGGGTTGAAGCCAGCTGGAGCTGGTTGGAGTGGTCAGAGATAATGAAAGGGAAGGTCAAGGTTGGGGTATGGTCAGGGCCAGGGGAGGGTGAGGGGTGGGAGGGGCAAGGAGTACTCAGGGCCAGAGGCTCAGGGGTTACTCCCTGCAGAAACCCAGATATGGATCTGCAAGCCCACGGCCTCCAACCAGGGAAAGGGCATCTTTCTGATCAGGAGCCAGGAGGAGGTTGCTGCCCTGCAGGCCAAGACCCAGAGCATTGAGGACGACCCCATCTACCGCAAGATGCCCTTCCGTGCACCTCAGGCGCGGGTGGTGCAGAGGTGTGGGCATGGATGCCAGGAAGGGCCTGGGTCTCAGCAGGGATAATCCAGACCAGCTGGTGCCTGTGAATCCTGGTGATAATCAGCAGTGCTGCAGAGAAGCCCTTGGCCACAGCAGGCTGCAGCACCCAATCAACCTGCCTCAAGCAGCCCACATCTAGCCCTACAGTCTGTGCAGGGAAGGTGTCACATTTAGCTGGAGTGGCAGACAAGACTGCCCTTAAACACAGGCTCTGGGGGAGGGGGGCTCGTCAAGGAGGGCTTGGTACCTATGTCCTCTGTCATGCAGCTGTCTTCCCTACTCTCCAGTCCAGCCAGCCAGCTACAGCCTATCTGCAACACAAAGCTGACCAATGACCCATCTGCCTACAGTGGGGTCCAGATCCTCAGTTTCACAGAGGACTAGGAGGGAAAACTCAGCTTACCTTAGAAAGGTCCCAGTAGTGCCTTACCCTCTGCCAATATTTACCCTTTCTCTGGCCACAGCTGCTATTTGCTGTCCACTTCCCCTTCCATAGGGCCCTCCCAAACATGCTCTTCCTATCTTAAGTCTTGATGATCTGAAGTGTCCTATATGGAATGTCCTCTCCCTTCCAAAGCATTCACTGTTCATGGTCTATTGTCAGCCTTCTTCCTCCAGACAGCCCTCCCTGCCACAGGGGCCCAATCTGCTCCCATAAACTGCCTAGTAAAGTAAGAGCTGCACTTTAAGATGGCCAGACACTTGCAGTGGATAGAGATTTGGTTGTGAGATCCTCTTCCAAATTCCTATGACCAGTTCAGACTCAGAAATGTCCTCTGACCATAGACAGTGTTCAGTTAGTGGCCATGCCTGGGACAGGTGGGAGGCAATGAGGAAATGGTCTTTATGGGGATGACAGACCTAGGCTACTGGTCAAGCAACTCAACTCCTGGTGCCCCTTATGGTATCCCCTAGATATGTCCAGAACCCACTGCTGCTAGATGGGAAGAAGTTTGATGTGCGCTCCTACCTGCTCATTGCCTGTGCCATGCCCTACATGGTCTTTTTTGGCCATGGCTATGCCCGCCTCACCCTCAGCCTGTATGACCCTCATTCCAGTGACCTCAGTGGTCACTTGACAAATCAGGTAAGAACCCCTTATAGGAGAAGCCCTTTTCCTATAGGTGTGGATGAACTCAGAGAAATACCCTCATTGCTTAAGAATGCAGAAGAAGGGTCTAGTTATAGACTGCCTGCCCAGGCTTCAAAGTGGCCTAGCAGCCTTTGTCTACCTTTCACCCCAACAGAGACTCAGGTCTCCTACAGAAGTACCTTAGAGCCTGAATCCTTGGATCAGCTGCCATTGGTGTGCTGACCAAAGGCCTAATGGGAGAATCTGGAACGAGAGATTCCTTGATTAGGGTCTGTGGGGATTTGCTGACTGGGAAGTTTCAAGGCATAAAGGTGTATGCACGAGGATCTCATAGGCAGTTCTCATGGGAGATAGAAATGGAGCTTCTGTGAAGGTCCGAAGGTTGGGGTAAAGCCTTCATAAAGTGGTCCCTTCAGAGAATGACCTCTAGGCTCTGCTTTTGCTGTAGTTCATGCAGAAGAAGAGTCCTCTGTATATGCTGCTGAAAGAGAGCACTGTGTGGAGCATGGAGCACCTCAACCGATACATCAATGACAAGTTTAGGAAGACCAAGGGCCTCCCCAGAGATTGGGTCTTCACCACCTTCACGGTCAGTCTGGCTTTGAGTCAGGAATCTGTGTACATATTGCCCATGGGTTGGGCTAGGCACATGACTTTTCATGAGTCATTGAAGCATGTATAGTTGTACCGAAGCCAAGCTTAATTGTTCCAGGTGTAATTTTCAATATCATGTTAAAGAAGCAAAAGTAGACATCCCTGTATTTCTTCCAATATGGGGGAAAGGCTTACAAATTCCCTTCTCTCCCTAGTTTACTATTTTTTAAGGGTAGGATGCTGAGTAATGTAAAATGCTGTTCTTATACTGATCAAGATGAGCATGAGTTATTTTTCCTTCATTCCATTTATGTGTATTACATCGATTAACTTTCACTACTCTTAAAATTCCAGATTATATCCTAGGTGGTAGAAGTATATAATAATTCAAATATGCTTCTGAGTTTGATTTTATTATATTAAGTATTTTTGTGTCTGTGCTTATAAGTAATGCTGTCCTATAGCTTTTCTTTAGTGTTTTTATCTGATTTTGATATGAAAATGTATCATCCTCCTTTTACTATAGAAAATGTCTTGATATTTTATTCTGATTCATAGTTTTAGAGATTTGAAGTCTATGATCAAATTAATACATGAGATGAGCAGGCTCTGCCACATTATCTCACTCCTGTGATAGTCTGCCCTGCTCAAATTTGAGAAACTGTAGATGGAAACCTCTGAAAACTATGAAGAAAAAATCTTTACTCTTTGGAAGTAATTCTCTCATGTATTTGTTACAAAGAGAAAAACAAAAACAAAACATTGATACATCCTGTGAAGCAGCCTGGACTTCCCTTTGTGGGAAGGTGTGTCATTAACACTGCCTTACTACCACCCCTTAGTCTCATTTGGTTGATGTCTATTAAGATTTTCTATTCTTGTTTGTTTTTAGATTGTTCTATTTAGTTAGTTTTTCCTAGGAATTTTTCCAGTTCTCCTTGGTTATATAATGTGTTTGGTGTACATATATTTACAGTTTCCTTAAATTCATTTTACTATGCTGGGCATGATGGTGTTCACCTTTAATTCCAATGTGTGGGAGGCAGAGGCAAACATCTCTGAGTTCAAAGCCAGTCTTGTCTATATAGTTTCAGACCAATAAAAGTTAGATGGTGAAGTCTACTGGGGGGCAGTGGAAGAGGAGAGGAGAGAGGAGGAGGAGGGAGAGAAGGAAGGAAGGGAAGGGGAGGGAGGAAAAGGGAAGGAAGGGGAGGGGAGGAAAGGAGAGGGGAGGGAAGGAAAGGGAAGAGAGAGGAGGAAAGGTGAAAGGAAAGAGAAAGGGATGGGAGGGGGAAGGGAAAGGGAAGGGAAGAGGGAAGGGAAGGGAGAGAAAGAAAGAGCCAGGAGCCAGGTGGGGTAGTGCAATACCTGTAATCCTATCATTTGGGAGGTAGAGTCAGGAGTATCAGGAACTCAACATCATATTCAGCTACACAAAGAATTCAAAGATAGCCTGGTCTATATGAGATCCTGACTCAAACAAAACAAAATGTTGAGGGCTAGGGTTATGCTCAGTAGTAGAACATTTGCCTAGCATGCACAAGAGCTTTGGGTTCCAGCCTACTACACGCACACAAATTAATGAATGAAAACATTTTATCCCAATATAGGCATGCTGTTTTTCCTTGTGTGAAAACGTCTTTTTTTTTTTTTTTTTTTTTTTTGAGACTAGGTCACACCATGTAGACCAAGCTGGCCCCAAACTCACAGAGATCTGCCTGCCTCTGCTTCTTAAGTGCTGGGATTAAAGACATGTGACACCACACCACTGGCCTTATGTGGGAATGTCTTAATTTCTCCATTTTAAAAAATATTTTAATTTTTTTATGTGTTTGAGTGCCTACATGTATGTTTGGGCACCATGTATGTGCCTGGTGCTCACAGAGGCCAGAAGGAGGTTTTGGATCCCTTGGAACTGGAGTTAGAAGAGATTGTGAACTGCCAGATGTAGACACTGGAAACCTAACTGGGGTCCTTTATGAGAACAGCAAGTGCTCTTAACAGTTGAGCCATTCCTTCAGTTTATTATTATTTCTCCATTCTTGAAGTATAATTCTTGAAGTATGATTTTGTTGAATAGAGAAATTCTTTTTACTAGTGTATGTGTGTGTGTATGTGTGTGTGTGTGTGTGTGTGTGCGCGCGCACGCACACGCGCATGCTGTGTATGTATGTTGATGTCTGTACATGTAGCACATGTATGTGGAGGCCTGTGGTAGATGTCTTATGTCCTTGCTCAATCACTCTTCACCTTTATTTTTTGAGACAGGATCTCCTACTAAACCTGAAATTCATAATTAGGCTAAAATGGCTAGACCATGAGCTTCAGAGATCTGTCTGCACCACCACCAAAGACTAGGGTTATAGGCATGCAATTGCCATGCTTAACTATTTATATGGGTTTTATGGTACTGAACTCAGTCTGTGCTTGTATAGATGGCACTTTGCCAACTAAGCTTTTTTTTTTTTTTTTTTTTTTGCCTCTGGAGATAGAATTCTTGGTTGGCAGTTTTTTTCTTTCAGTATTTGGAATATGTCATTCCTTTGCCTTCAGGCCTCCTGATTTCTGATGAAATTGACTATTAATCTTATTGATTATCCCTTTTATGTGATAAATTGCTTCTCTTGCTAATTTCAACATTCTCTGTCTTTTTTATGTACATGTGTGTTTGTGTATGTGTTCATGTGTGCAATTATGGAGGCCAGAGGTCAACTTCAGATGTTGTTGCTCAGGTGTCTGTCATCCTCACTTTTCAAAGACAGAGTCATATCTTCATTGGCTTAAAGTTCACTGATTAGGCTAGGCCAGCAAACTTCAGGGACCTGTTTGTCTCTGCCTTCCCAGAACAAGAATTGCAAATAGAGAACATCACACCAACTTACATGGGTTCTGGGGACTGAACTCAGGTCCTCATGCTTGTTAGCACACGCTTTGCTGACTGAGCTGTCTCCTAAGCCCTCTCTATCTTTTAAAAGTCTGCGTATGATATGATAAATCTATTAATTTATCCTGCTTGGGCTTCATTGCATGATTTAAATTTAGAGGTTAATGTTTTACATCAAACTTAGGAACCTTTCCATCATTTCTTACAATACCTTGTCCCTTTCTTTCTTTCTGGGATTCTCAGTACATATATCTGCTGAATTAGCTCCTATCCTCAAGCTTCTGAAGCTTTATTTTTTTCATTACTTTTTATTTTCTTCAGAGTAGATAATTTCAATTGCTCTGCTTTCAAATTACTTCAATTTCTGAAGCCTTCCAGTGATTAGGGAAGCAAAGGATAGCAAAGAATCATGTGATCCTCCTGCTTTGGTTTGCTCAGTCTGGGACTACAAACATGTGCCACCATACCCGGTTCTATGACTATATATATTGGCCCAGTGGTGGTGGCACATGCCTTTACTCTTGGCTCCCAGGAGACAGAGGCAAGCGGATCTCCATGAGTTTGAGGTCAGTCTGGATTACAAAGAGAGTTCTAGGACATCCAGAGCTGTTAAACAGAGAAACCCTGTCTCAAAATATATAATGTGTATGGGTGTTTTGTCTGCATGTATGTCTGTATACCGAGTGCATGCCTGGTGCTGGGAAAGGCCAGATGAGAAGGGCAGAACTGGAGTCACAGATGGCTGTATGCTGCCATGTAGGTGCAGGGAACTGAACCCAGGTCCTCTGGAAGAGCAAAGCAAGCGCTCTTAACCACTGAGCCATCTCTTAAACTCCAAGATCTGTTCTTTTTCTTTCTTAGTATTTTTTTAAAAGAATTGTAGTCACTGTATTTTTCTACTCCAGAAATTCTAGTCCATTCCCTTTTATACTTTGTATCTCTCTCTCTCTCTCTCTCTCTCTCTCTCTCTCTCTCTCTCTCTCTCTAAATGTGTTTGTTTTCCCAGACAGAGTTTCTCTGTGTAGCCTTGGCTGTCCTGGAACTCACTCTGTAGACCAGGCTGCCTCAAACTCATAGAGGTCCACCTGCCCCTGCCTCCCGAGTGCTGGGATTAAAGGCATGTGCCACCATCGCCCAGCTAAAATCTTAATTACATTTTAAAAATGTATTAGGGAGTACACATCGCATGACACATTTGTAGAGGTCAGAGGTCAACATATGGGAGTTATTTCTCCTTCCACTATGTGGGTTCCAGAGATCAAACTCAGGTTATCAGGCTTAGCATTAGGCACCTTTACCCACTGACTGTCTTAAGGGCCTCTATAATTTGTATCTCTTCATTGATATTCTCTGGTGAGACATCATCCTCAACTCTCCTTTGGTGTTTTCTAAAGGGTTCTTCCAACAAACCTTCAAACTTAGGAAAACTAATAGATGGAATTATTTGTAAATTAGACAAGTTCTGCTATTTCCAAGACAGATATATTTTTCAAAGTTTTCACTGAGCTGAAAAACAGAGTGAAACTAACTAGGGCAACTTGAAGTTCTATAATGTTCTCTATTCTACCAGGATTTTATATGTTCTAGTTGTCTGTCTCTCTGCTGTGAGTTCTAATTTTCTTTAATTTTGTATCTCCTAGTACCTGCCTCACAGTAGAAGCCCCATGATTTTGTTGAATGAGTTTCTGACTGTGAGCCTGTAACTCTGAGCATGTGAAAGTGTGGGCAGTTACAGCTATGCAGGTGAGGGTGACAGTGCAGATGAGAGGTGTGACTGATTGTTCAGACCTAGGAGATTTCATCTGGGCCAGCAGGTGACAGCCAGGATCCTTCCCTGCTTCACCCACAGAAGCGGATGCAGCAGATCATGGCCCACTGCTTCCTGGCTGTCAAGTCCAAGCTGGAGTGCAAGCTGGGTTACTTTGATCTCATTGGCTGTGATTTCCTGATTGATGAGAACTTCAAGGTGCTGTCTTGGGAAGATGAGGTCTGGTAGGCTGGTACAAGGAGGTAGGGCCCATCTGTACATTGACCACATAAGTAGGCCCAATAGGTGGACTCATCCCTAAGGTCAGATGTGTTCATAAAGCTCATCTCCTATTGGAACTGAGCAGCAGCCTTAATTCCTTGAGCAAACACGGGGAACAAAGCCATGGGAAGATACAATCTGCCCAGAATCACGTAGCTGGATAGGGACCAAAGTCCCAGCTTCTTACTGGCCAACTGGGCTGTAGGTGGATAGAGATGCTGACCACTGTCTGCCACAGGTGTGGCTGCTGGAGATGAACTCCAACCCTGCCCTACATACCAACTGTGAAGTCCTGAAGGAGGTGATCCCTGGAGTGGTTATGGAGACCTTGGGTGAGCTCTGGACAGCCTCATGTCACGACATTCCTATATAAGTCTTTGTCTACTTCTGGGTACCCCCATCCTACTTGCCTCCAAGTTCAGACTCCACAAGTCTGGTTTTCCAACTCCCCATAATCTGCATGGCAGCCAAACCCTCTCTCTGCTCCAACTTCTCTGTCACCTGACCCACCTATGTCCAGTCCCTCACGGACCCCTTTCTTCCCTTGTTTCCAGACATGCTGGAACATGGAGGTTGCCATGCTCCAAACCTCCTTCTCATCATTCACCTTGTCACTACCCTACCTCCCCACAGATCTAGCTCTTGAGACCTGCCAAAAGAGCTTGCATAGTCAGAAGATGCTGCCCCTGCTGTCACAGCGTCGCTTTGTGCTCCTTTACAATGGCGAGACCACGGACCTGTGGCCGCGCTTGGGGGGCTCACGCTCCCTTGCCCGCCTGCCTCCGCCGCCGCCTCCCCGGCCCACCTGTGAGGTCGCATCCTCTGCGCTGTCCTCAGTACGTGCCGCTGCAGACCGGCCTGGCGCACGCAAGCCGGTGCCTTCCAGGGACGCTCCCTTATGCACCTTCCGCAAATCGCGGCTGCCTGACTCCAGCGGAGGATCCGGAGCGGAGTCTGAGCCCTCTCTCTGTTCTGGGTCCCCAGAAGGCAGCAGGGACGCGGTTGGGGAGCCCTCCCTGGGGCCGCCCGAAGAAGAGCACGAGGAGGAACAGAGGAGCGCTAGCCACCGGGGCTCCTAGCCGCCACAAGCATCCAGACCCCCTGCTCACGGCCGTGCCCTCTCCGGGACCTATAAAAGCTACTTTGTGACAAACGCGGCCTCCAGAAGCCAGTCCCACTTGGGCGCCCCAAGCCCTTCTGCCCCCTCCTCTCTTTGTTCCTCAGGTTGTCCTTAGGGGAAGGAGAGGGAGCTGCATGCAGAATGGGAGTGCATCCTTCAGGAAGGGAAAACCTCCACTGACCTGTTTTTCCTTCTATGGGGCAGCCCACCAAATCCTGGGTCCCCACTTACTCATCCTGTAGGATCCTCCTGGAAACTCCATGGCCTTCATGACCTCGGCAGCCTGGCATTGGGACCCACCCACTGTTCCGTGGAGTCCCCAGGAAAGGTCTTGGATGACCATGGAACTCCGGAAGCACCACCCTACCCCATTACTATTCTGGTGCAGTGCTGGGGTTCATCCTCAAACTGCCCACCATTTTTCTCCTGGCCTTTCAGACACTATGTGGAGCACTGTCTACAGCATACAGCCTCTACTTCCCTACAAAGGCCCTGGAGTTTGTCTGGGATGAGAGGCACAGAGAGTTGGCCAAGACAGGGCAGTTCCCAGGAAGGATGACACTAAGCTGGCACTGGTGATTGTTGCATCCTCCCAACCCCCACCCACTAATATTCATGCTCCTAGTTAGCATGGGGTTTTGAAAAGAGGACTCTGACCACCTCAAATCTTACACCAAAGTGGCCAGGACCCTGTCTGTAAGTTCCTCCAGCAAACCCCTGTCCCCTTAAGTTACCCCACCCCTACAAAACTCCAAAGACACCTCCCACCAACTTCCAGAAGGCCCTGCTCAGCTTGAATACTCTCTTGCATATCCAACGTGGCAGTGGCAGATTCCTCTTCCTTGCCCTCCCTTCTGACCTGTAATTGGTCCCAAATATCAGGCCTAGCTTCTTCACATGTGAGAGGAGTGCCAGACTAGTCCTTGTTCTTTATTGGAGCAAAATCCCTCAGGAGGTAAGGAAATCTTCCTTGCACAGTTGTCTAAACTGTAGCACTTAGGATTCTTAGGATGCAATGGCCTGCCCACCAGTAGAGGGCTCTGTCAACTGCTTGTTGCTCTAGCCAGCCAGCATACAGGGAGGTTCTGTTCCAGGAACCCTTAACAATAAAACAACTGAGGCTCAGAGAGGTAAAGTGAGGCCCTCAGGTCCCAGAGGAAATGATCATGGAGACCCTACTTTAGCTCATGAGCATCCCACATCTCTCCACACCCACCATAACCCTTCTCCATTCAGACTGCCTGCTCCACCCCAAATGTTCTAGCCTACTCTCTTCCAAGTTCAGTCTTCCTGCTGTGGCCTAGAGATTAGGTACAAGGTACAGTATAAGCACAATCTTATCCTTATGTGATCGAGCCCAGTCTCTCCTGTAACAGTCTAGGGAAGAGTGTGTCCATGGTCAGAGGGTCTCTGGTCTATCTGCTCTGAAGCCCACTAAAGCTAGCCTCCCCAGAGCCTAAGAGCCTAGATCTTGGTGAATCCACACCTGTTACTGGGGTCAAGGTCACATTTTTGCTGGCATTCATGGTGCCACATAGCCATGTCCCTTGGGGCCACTGTCACTGCATTCTCAACTTGTGCTACCTCCAAATCCTGTGTTTCCCATAGCCTCCCCTACTTCTCACAGTTCCCTTGATGTGTCCCTTGATGGCATCACCAGTGTCATAAATATTTCTGCTCTCAGCTGCCACATGGAGCTGCAGCCCTGCTCCCCGGGGGATGTCTCATGTCAGTAGAGGAGGTAACAAAGCTCTCAGGAAGGAGATGCTTCTGCTGCTGTTATGGGGACATGGAGCCCCTACTGAGACCACTATGTAACAAATACTTGTTGGCAGTAGCCTGTCCTGCCCTGCCAACCACAGCTTCCCCAAGGGCTTGAGCTCTCTGCTACCTTTCATTCCTGGCAGCTGCAGAACACCATGTCAATGAATAAAGGTTTCAGGGACCTCCTGCTGCTCACTCATCCCACAGGAGTGATGAGTGATGACCCCATCAACCCCCCTCCACATGTAAGTTCCCCAGACCCCTGAGTTTGGGACCTCATAAAGCTCTGGGAAGAGAGGGGCTGTGGGGCATTTGAGCATCTGGCCACCTGGCAGATTCAAGGTATTCTCTAATATTCAAATAATATGGCAGGACCAGGGCTTAAGGAGCTGAATGATAGCATCAAGACTGGGCTGGCCCCACAGAGCAACTGATTACCACTGGGGTTAGTCACCCAAGAACAGGGTTTCCGACAGCTGAATGTGTCCTCCCACTCTTCTGTATCGCTCCTTCCCTATTCTCCTAGGAGGGAATCCTGAGGCCCTACTGTTAAGGGTGTCAAGAGCTTCCTTAACCATCAGAAGATGTGGCAAACTGAGCTGCTCACAGCTCTGACCTAAGCAACCTCTACCTCCTGTTGTCCCTGCAGCCAGTACAGACTTTTACCACACACGCACGCGCGCACACACAAACACACACACACACACTGTAGCCCCCCTCAGGGTCTGGAGTTTTCTGAGCACCTTAATGTCAGCCAAACAATAGTGGGACATCCTACATACCTTCCCACTCTAGTCCCTCCCCATCTAAGAAGGGGCCAGGAGAGTCAGTGCCTGGTTTTCAGAAAAGCATCCCAATTCATGAAGCCTCTTGGGAAGATGAGGTAGATAAGGGATGAGTGTCTACCTTCTCTCCCCACTCAGCTACTTCCCATAGGGGCCAATGGCTGCCTAAGGGCAGTGCCTGAGATGTGAGCCCAGCCCAGTATAGGAAGACCTAGAGGTGGAGGTACTACATGGCCAGTGGGAGCATACCTCAGCAGCTCAGCAGCTAGGGACAGTCAGCACCCACCTGCCCCTCAAGGTCTCTGGACAGCTGTCTGGAGCCTGGAGTTGGGGGAGGGGCTGTCCAGTTGTAAAAAAGGAAGAGACATCTCACTTCCCATAATACAGGTCCTTCTGTGAAGCTGGGGCATGTCCCACACTGAATAAAGAGTAGGTTCTCTCAGCAAGGTGAGAGGGTGGAGGCTGAGCAGGAGCCACCAGCTGTGGCCGGAAGCATTTCTGAGAACTGAGATGGCTTTAGGCCTTTATCTGAGACTGAACAAAAGTTACGAAATCAAGGCAAAGGGGTGTGTGTGTGCTGTGGTTTTCCGGAAGAACTGGAAGGCAGCTACTGTGGGGCAGGGGTTTCTGGGAATTGCAGTGAAGCCTCCTTCCTACTAGTCTAGGCCAAGCAGAGACACACCCAGCTGTTGTGGCTGCCAGACTCTGCAGGTAGGCAAACACCATCTCTGCTTCAGAAGGCAGGATCTGGAGTGGTCTCTGCAGCAGAGTCTTTTTTGGCAAATCCTCTTTACATTTCTAGCACCCCTGGATTTCACACTCGCCTGCCTGCAGTCATGGGGGCCTGAACAGTCCCTGCACAGCTCATGGTTCTCAGTGGAAATCCCTAGATCTCTCAGGCTGGCACAGCCCATCACATGCTCCTGAGGTGGACATGAGTAAAATTGAGGGTGTTGCTGGCTGCAGGGCAAGGGTACATTGGAGACTACAGCATCCCTCACCCCACCCTGCAGACTCTCCTGCCATCTCAATATCACACCCATCAGTCACCACAGAGGAGTTTCCAGCAGATGCAGCCTGTGGGTGTCTGCACACGTCATACTATTTGGGGATGCCCCACCTGTGGCAGTTCCAGTGGAAGGCAGGACTGCCTATGGCTCAGAACCTAGGGGCATGGTGTGATAGGCAAGCTAGGAGATGCCCCAAGACCCCACCTCCCTTTCTGGGCTGACTCTGGACTTTGCAATGCATGCCTGACTCCTCACCTACCCAGTAGGAGACAGAAGAAACAGCTCCAGGTAATGAGGGTTCTGGTATATCCACAAGGGACTTCATATGGCCCTGAGCTCTTTGTGTTCTAATCCCAATGTCCTCTACTTTCATGGCAATTTTTCCATCTCCTCCTTCAGTCTCTCCCAGGAGCCTGTGTGTTGATGGGGCTATTAGCACCTCAAGGTGCAGATCCATCCCCCAATCCCCATTTACCTGCTATGAGATGATAAGGCAGGAGGCACTAAAGGAGAGGATGGGTTGAGTAAGTGCCCAGATGTGCAGATGCCTCAAGGGTGCTGCTACAACTCCTTCCCTCAGGCCTGCCACTCCCTGGACATCCATGCCAAGATGACCTTATTGAATTTTCTTTTTTTTTTTTTTTCTTTCTTTTTTTTTTTTTGTTGTTGTTGTTTATATCTTAGGGTATTTATGCTTTGGTTCCAAAATTATTTTTTAAGACAGAATATAGTGTACATA